TAGACACGTGGGGCTCCTGAGCACTTGAAATGTGGCTAGTGCGACTGGGGACAGTTTTTTTTATTTATTTAGTGTAATTTAAGGAGCCACATGCGCTAGTGGCTACCGTATCAGACAGCATCATAAAGAGCGGATAATGCCTCTTGCTCTATCTCATGCAGTGTGTGAGAGGGTCAAAGCAATGTAAAACGGAGCTGTGGGCGTCCTCAGACGTGAGGATGTACCATGCCTCCCTCAGACAGAGCAAGCCGCAGGAGGAAATTCAGCTGTGGGGACTTTTCAGACCCGAAGGCTGTTGCTATGGGCATGGGAGGGGGAAGAAAATACTCTAAGTGGCTGGCACGTGGTCTGGAAGCACTGCCCCATGCGCAAGCTGAGGTCTCCCTGTGGAGCACAACGTGTCCTGTAGAGAACAATAAGTAACTAAATAAATAGGTCCCAGTGACACCTGACCACCAGTGACACCTGACCACCTGCCCGGCTCCCTTCTCTCTCCTGCAGTCAGACCCGGCTCCCTCCGCTGCTTTCTTCCCATGGTCTGCTATCTGGGGTTCAACCTCCCTTGAAACTGGGCAGGGCCAACGCTTTAGCTTCAATCCCGTTCTTCCCTCTGCCTCCTTGAACCCTACATTCCAAATCCAGTTGGTCTTCTCCATAGCCAAGAACACAGGGGCCTCCTTGCTTCACCTGACATGCTTCCCCTTGCTTCCCCTTTCCTTTCACCTGGGTTTTCAGGGGCTTCATTTGCTCTGAGACCACCCTTTATAATGCACCGGACTCCTTAGCCAAAGTCCCAACCCCACCCCCACACCACTAGCCCTGCTGAAGGGGAGGCCCTAGGCCCACGAGCCCTACCCCGCTCCCTGCTCCCCACAAGCACAGCTGACTGGACCAGAGGCAGGTCCCTGAGCCAAGGTCAGCCAACCTATAGGTTTGCTGGCAGTCTATGAGGCGGCCTGACTTGAAAAGACGAGCTGAGCCTGTCAGATGTTCTTTACGGGAACTTGTACAGAAATATCCAGAGAAGGAGGGAGTTAGCAGTGGGAGAGAAAGCTGAAAAGAAGTTTTGAGATGGCATCAGGGCTACCAGAGGTCACGGAAAGCCTGGCTTGTCAGGAAGCAGTCATGCAGAGAAGATGCAGAGGAGCGATGAAGAGATGAGAACAGCCGGCCGGATGACTCTCCGGTTCCTGTCCCCAGCCCTTGTAATTGAAGACACCTGCGAAATCTCTTGTGCAGTAACCTGTCGTGTGTCATAGGTTGGGTTTCCTGGAAATGGGCTCTGGGAAGGAAGGCTGCATGCAGAAGAGTTACTGGGAATGCTATTGAGAGACATGCACGTAAGAAGGTGAGGAGGCTTGGGGAAGAAAGACGAAATGCAGCTGCAAACGAGTCTTAGTCGGTCGTTCAGGGAGTTCTGGAGCCATGATGGCCCTTCAGAGTTGTCCCAAAATTGAGGCAAAGAGGCTGGGCTTTTTACCCATGCATTAGGCAATCATTGGCCTTGGACCACCCCTAGGAGGGAGCATAACCAGGAGGCAGGCTGTTCCCTCCAGCTGAAGGCAATTCCTATTGAGGTATGTGGCTGGGAGCCATCAGCCACCACTCTTCCCAGCTTCTGGGGTACAGGCGTGAGGGCACTAAAGAGGGGGTCTGGGGGAACAGCACAGTTTCCGCGTGACACATCTCACCACACATACACAAACAAACTCTCACACTTAGAGTTCCCTGAAGGCAGAGAATATGTCCTGTTTTGTTTCTCACTTCTAGCCTAGTGCCTGGCACAGGAAACTGTTAGATTTAGATTCAACAGATATGCGTTGAGCATCTATACTGTGCCAGGCATGGTGCCAGGCACATTATAGGGATTATCTCACAGAATCCCCAAAATGGTTCTATCAACTGCAAATTTGTAAAGTACAAATTTTTAGCACCATTTTACGGAAGCAGAAATTGAATCTCAGAAAGTAACTAAAGCCCAGCTAAAAGACCACATTTTCCAGCTCTCCTTGTGCTGAAAGGCTGGCCAGTACGACATAAATAGAAATCATTAGATGAAACTTCTAGAAAGTTCTTGGAGGAGAGGCATCGACTCAACTTGAAGTCTCACCCTTTTCCCTTCCCATTACTTCCCTCCTCCCTGAAAGGGGACATGATCTCTGAAGTCGCAACAATCATCTAGAGCCTTTGAAGATGGAAGCCACCCTCTCGAGCTGGCAGAGCAGATAGATGGAAGAAGCCTGAGACATCCCAGCATTTCCACATCAGTCTTAGAAGGCCCATCTCTATCTAAGACCCTTGTTAGTTTAGGATCTATAACTCCGTACGGATATATTAGAGTAGAGTTTATTGTTCTGTTATCTTACAGATACAACCCAAAATTGCATTTGGATTCCACGGCCCATGAAATTGAATGCTGAAAATGTGCTTTTGCCACAATTGCAAATCCTAATAAGCAAATAAGGTTTCTAAAAAGTATTAGAATGCTTAGTTCCCACACTAACATACAACTTACTTTAGACGGAAGTAATAGTAGAAACACCCTATTTTTATTTAGCCCCTGTGGAATGAGCATTATGTAAATTGGTCTCTGTAACAACTGTGTGAAATAGACAGGGAAGTGCTACTTTCTCAATTCATTAATTACAGAAACCGAAATTCAGTGATTTCAAGTCAGAGAATCTTCAAATCTTGGGACAATAAAGATCTTAAACAGTCTGATCATTCTCATTCTCGGTATCTTCCAATTCTTTCTTCTTCCCTCCAGAATAGAATCCAAACTTCTTAGGTGGCATTTAAGGCCTTTAAAAATAGGATCCCAGCGGGCTGGCCCAGGGGCACAGTGGTTAAGTTCACACGTTCCGCTTCCTCGGCCCAGGGTTCACCGGTTCGGATCCTGGGTGTGGACATGGCACCACTTGGCATGTCATGCTGTGGTAGGTGTCCCACATATAGAGGAAGATGGGCGTGGATTTTAGCTCAGGGCCAGTCTTCCTCAGCAAAAAGAGGAGGACTGGCAGCAGTTAGCTCAGGGCTAATCTTCCTCAAAAAAAAAAAAAAAAAAAAACCAGCAGGATCCCAGGGGCCGGCCCAGTGGCTGAGTGGTTGGGTTCACACGTTCTGCTTCAGTGGCCCAGGGTTTCGCTGGTTCGGATCCTGGGTGCGGACTATGGTGCCGCTCCTCAGGCCGTGCTGAGGCAGCGTCCCACATGCCACAACTAGAAGGACCCACAACTAAAAATACACAACTATGTACTAGGGAGCTTTGGGGAGAAAAAGGAAAAATTAAAATCTTAAAAAAAACCCAGGATCCAGCCTAGCTCTCCTACTTATCTGCTCCCAACGTAGCTGGGGAGAAAATGGGACTGACAATTGAACCTTGGCCTGCGTTCCCTCCAAAAATGGAAACTGAGGGGCCGGCCCGGTGGCACAGCAGTTAAGTTTGCATATTCAGCTTCTTGGCGGCCCGGGGTTCGCTGGTTCGGATCCCGGGTGCAGACATAACACTGCCTGGCCCGCCATGCTGTGGTAGGCGTCCCACATATAAAGTGGAGGAAGACGGGTATGGATGTTAGCTCAGGGCCAGTCTTCCTCAGCAAAACGAGGATTGGCAGCAGTTAGCTCAGGGCTAATATTCCTCACACACAAAAAAATGGAAACTGAGACAAGAACTTGAATGCAGACAGTTTACTTGGGAGTTGACCCCAGAAGAGTGAGGTACAAGAGAAAGTGAAACAGGGAAAGAGGAGAAGCCAATTAAAGGGTATGTTGTTATCTTGGCCACCAGTGGGCCCACGGGGCCTCAATCCTGCCAGGGCCCTCTGAGGAGCACACAGAAATCTTCTTGGAATTGCCTTCTCTTAAGTCAAGACGGAGAAGTATTGATCCACTGACTTCCATCCCCCACTATTTGATGGCTGCCCCAGAACCCTTAACTCCCCCACCTTTTTGGGCTGTGTGAATGCCAGCTCTCCCATACGGCAGCACTGAAGAAGCCTCAGGGCAGAAAAATGAAAGGCATGGGGCTTGTCCCTGAGGTGAGAGGCTGTCAGGCCAACGTGAATTCAAAACCCACACAGAAGTCTGTTTACAGATCTGACTAAATGAGATCCTACTAGACAGATTATCCCACAGACCACAGTAATAAAATCTGGGCATGACACAAATAGTGGTTCCCTGAAGGCACCAGAGGGGGACAGAAACAGGCAGACCGTGGTGCAGAGGACACATGCAAAGTTGGGAAGTTGTACAAGGTGACACCATTGTCATAGTGTCCAGTTTACTAAAGATAAAATAACCCGGTGTGAGATGAACCAGGAAAATGGAACACATCCTCGAGAGAAAAGAAAATCAATTGAAAATGACTCCAAGATAATCCAGATCTTAGAACTAGAAGATGAGGATTTTTAAAAGGCTGTCATAACTATTCTCACTGTTTCCCAATGCATTCTCAACTATTCTCAAATGTATTCTCAACGTGTAACTATTCTCATTGAAAACAACATATGCTTTCAATGAATGAAAAGAGAGAAAATCTCAACAAAGAAAAATCAAAATTATTTTTTAAATGAAATGAAAATTCTAGAAATGAAAATACACAATACTTAATTTTTTTAAATGTAATGAAAATAACAGAGGAAAGAGTAAGTGAACTTTAGCATGGAGCAATAGAAATTATATAATCTGAAGAACAGAGAGAAAAAGATTTTTTTTAAAAAAAAGAACAGAGACTCAGGGACCTGAGTATCGGATGGTCTAACATATATGTAAGCGGAGTTCCAGAAGGAGAGGAGAGCAAGAGAATGGAGCAGAAAAAACATGTGAGGAAATAATGGCTGAAATTTTCCCAAATTTGATTATAAATATGAATTTACAGATTCAAGATGCTCAATGAACATCAGGCAGGACAAACATGAAGAAGGTCATGCTGAGCCACATGTGGTCAACTGGTTAAGGCCCAAAGATAAGGAATAAATCCTGACAGATAACAATCGATTGCATAAAGGAGAAATTGACTTTATTTGTAGACATCATGACTGTGTACCCAGACAAATCCTAGGAATACACCAAAAGAAGAAAAAAGCTGTAGAATTATAAGTGATTCCAGCAAAAGTGAAAGATTCAAGGGCGATATACAAAAATTAATTGCATTTCTATATACTGATATGAGCAATTAGAAACTAAAATTTAAAAATCAACTCCAGGGGCTGGCCAGGGGCATAGAGGTTAAGTTTGCACACTCTGCTTCGGCAGCATGGGGTTCACCAGTTCAGATCCTGGGTGCGGACCCACTCACTGCTTATTGAGAGAGGGAGTCATGCCGTGGAGGTTGTCCCACATACAAAATACAGGAAGATTGGCACAGATGTTAGCTCAGGGACAATCTTCCTTTAAGTAAAAAGAGAAAGATTGTCAATAGATGTTCGCTCAGGGCCAATCTTCCTCACCAAAAAAAAAAAAAAAAATCACCTCCATTTACAATACACTATAGTGCTACCAAAGTCAGCAAGATGCTAGCACAAAGGTAGACACAAAAATCAATGGAACAACAATAAAAAAAATCGATGGAACAAAAGATTTCAGAAATAGACCCATTCTAACATGGTCAATTGATTTTGACAAAGATGCCATGGTACTTAAAATGGGGGAAGAATAGACTTTTCAACAAATGGAACCACTGGGTATCTATAAGGCAAAAAAAAAATAACCTTCACTCATATATCAAGCCATATAAAATATTAACTCAAAAGCATTCATAGGCCTAAGTGTAAGAGCTGAAACGATAAATCTTCTAAAAAAAAAAACAAAACAGGAGGAAAACTTTTGTGACCTTAGGTAAGCAAAGAACATAAAAAAACACAAACCTGAAAAGGAAAAGATTGATACAATGGACTCCATCAAAATTTAAACTTTTGCTCTTTGAAAACTATTGTTAAGAAAACCAAAAGACAAGCCACAGATGGGGAGAAAATGTTTGCAAAACATATACATGACTGGAATCAAAGGTTTAGAGATGCAATGTGGTGCACAAATATCTGATACACACAGTTTCAACAAACGGGGGGTTTATTTTTCTCACACAAAAAATCTAGAGGTGAGAAATTGATGGCAATGGTTTGGCTGCTCAGTGATGCCATCAGGGACATGGACTCCTTCTGTCTTTCCTGTGCTATCCATGGAATGTTGTCTTCTACTTATGTTTCTTGCCTCATTGCTCAGGATGGCTGCCATAGTTCCAGTCATCACATCATCACATAAAGCAGGAAGAAGGGAGAAAAGACAAAGAGCCATAGCTGCTGCATCTTTTTCCTTTTATCATGACAGCAAGAGATTTTCCAGAAACACCCTTCAGCTGACTTCTGCTTAGTTTTCATTGGCCAGAAAAAAAGTCACATGGCCATCACTGGCTTCAAAGGAATCTAAAAAGTAAGGAACAGAATTGTCATATTTGGCCTAGATCACCTTGTCATGATCACCTTGGAAACGCTACTACAGATGCCTCAGATAAAATCTATTATCTATTAGCGAGAAAGAAGAAGGGAGACTGTACATTGGGTAGTCAACTTATGGTATCCGTCACTTCATCCTAAACGCTAGCCATGAAGAGCACTTTTATTTCCCAACATATTCCAAGCTCTTTCATGCATCCAGTTCTTTGTATCTGCTGCCTGGAATCACCTTGCTCTCTGTCTTCACCTAACAAACTCCTTCTTAGCCTTCAGAACTCAGGGCAATTTCACCACAATAAAAATATATATTAAAGAAAAAACTTGGGGCAGACATCACCTCCTTTGGAATGCCCTTCCTTCCTCCCTTCCTCCCTCTCTCCTTGGTGTGGATGAAATATCCCTCATCAGGAACACCTGAACTCCCCACAAATCACGCCTAATGGATTGTCCGTGATGCTAAAAGCCAGCTACTTCCTTTTGTCCTCACAGAGTGGTAACCAAATCAATAGACGTGTCTCAATGCCTTTGCTTTTCCTGATTCTAACCCCTGCCTTATGCCCAGTTGCATTTCTGCCATTTGGTTCTCAAAGACACCACCAAATCCTTACCATTCTTATAATAAACTTCCTTTTCTGCCTATGCCAGCTCAGGCTGGTTTGTTACTCAAATCTGGGAGTCGTGATTCACCCGTGATCCCTCGCTCACGGGCATCCCGGCATTACCTACAGGGGCAGAGACAGTTAGAGCTCACCACCAATCTCTGAGCTCCCCTAGGTTTCCTGGCTTCCACAGAAGTTAGCGTGGGGGTGACCATGTGACCAGTTCTAGCCAACGGACTATGAGCGGAAGTGACGTGTGTTACTTCTGGACCAACGCGGTTAAGAGCCAATGTACCTCCTCCATCTGTCTTGACCCCACTGTGACAACAACATGTCCCCTGTGGTGTGGCTATAAGAAGGAGGAGGGCTTCCCAACCTACGGAGGACTTTGCACCAGCCAAAAGACAAACTTTTTTTCATGATAAGCCACCGAGACCTGGGGGGGTTTGTTCCCGCAGCTACCATTACTTACGTTATTATATCTGTTAAATGACAGCTGTATGTGACTGCTCTCTTCCATTAGAACATGATCTGTTTGAGGTCAGTAGCTGAGTTCATCTTAGAACTCCTGCACCAGCCCCTACAGGACCTGGGACAGGAAGTGTGTTTGTTAAATGTGTGTTGAATGAATTACAAGCAGATGAATCATTCCATCCAATGTTTCAACACCTCAAGTGAACACTTACTCGTAACCCGAGGAGTCTGGAAACTTCGAAAGCTGGAAATTGAGCCTAGAATCTTCTATCTCCAAGCCAAGGGCTTTTTGCATATCATTGTGGATAGATGACGGGAACTGTGAATTAACTCCAACGTGTGACAGTTCAGCAGACAGGCAGTCTCCGTGGAGCTTTCTAGAACAATTATTCTGGAAAGTCATTTCTGGGAAAGGGCCCAAGAATTTACCCACAGCAGAGGAGAAAGACTTCAAACATTGACTGCTTCTGTTGCCCTGGTCATGAAACTCTGAAAACAACACAAGTCAGAAGCTTCCTAGGGGACAGAGGAGCATCTGTCCTTTGAAAAACTTCAACATTTCTGTTAAACAATTTTTCTGGAATTAACAAAGGGGAAAGTGAGCAGAAACATTCTGAAAATCCAGCAATTAGGCTCAAAAAGTCAGTTCAGGGTGAGGAAACAAATTTTGTGACAGCTTGTGTAAATGCCTGAATTAACTGAAACTCGGTAGTAATAAAGATAAAATTTGCTTTGCTGTTGCCAATGGGATGAGACTACTGTGTGTCAGGTGCAGAAGTGGCCTTTATAGGCAGGATCCTTCCTTATTCCTTATAGCAAAGCGGTAACGTACCGAATGCTGGTCCCATTTTACAGGTGAAGAAAACGAGGTCAGAGTACTTAGGAAATTTCCTAAAGATCACAAAGGTAATAAGTGGCGAACATAGGATTCAAACCGAGGCTTTTTGAATTCCAAAGCCCACGCTCTAGGTTTTCAGATGTGGCCAGTTTGATTCTCTTATTTGAAAGTCTCAGAAATCCACTGTAAACTGGTTTAGACAAAGGGACTTTATTGGTTCACAGAATACAAAAAGGATTGAATGACAATCCACCGGAAGGACAGGGATAGCGCTGGGCTTCCGGGGCAACCGCATCCAGATGCCCGAAGGCTGCCGGCAGTCCCTCCCCCTCCATTTCTCTGCTCCTCTCAGGGTCACCTTCATTGTCTCTCTTACATGGTGTTCTTCCCACACACGGCAGAAAACACGGCTGTCAACACATCCCAAACCTCACATCCGTCAGCTCCTACCCAGAGAGGATCTGACTGACTTCAGCGCCAGTTTGAAAAATCCGAGAGCAGAAATCGGATCGGACAGCTTGCGTCAATACCTCCTCTGTACCCATCCACTCTGGCCATGGAGATGGGTCATCTAAGAACAAGGCAGCTTCTTGTTCGGAGGAAGATAAAGTGGCTGAAAAAACCAAAATGGTCCAAGGAAATATAAAAGCTTAGCTGGAAGCAGAGGAAATACTCAGGGGGATGTTCCTGTGATCTGTAGACATCTGAAGGACGGTCACGAGGAAGAGGAGGTGCTCTGAGTCACTATGGGACTGATGGGCACAAGTTTCCAGGAGACAGACGTCAGGTTCAGGTTCGGCATTCGCTAAATTTGTTACAACTGATGAGCCTACACTGACACATCGTTATCACCCAACGTCCATGGTTTACATTAGGGTTCACTCCTGGTGCTGTACATTCTGTGGGTTTGGACAAATGTATAATGACACGTATTCATTATTACAATATCACACAGAGTATTTTCACTGCCCTAAAAAATCCTCTGTGTTCTGCCTATTCATCCCTCCCCCTTACATATGTTTTTACAGCGTTTATATCTCAATGGATATGCAATTTCAATAACACCATTGTATCGTGAGCATTTCCCCCGTATCATTAAAAAATCTTTCATGGGGCCAGCCTGGTGGCACAGCAGTTAGGTTTGCACATTTTGCTTTGGCAGCCCAGGGTTCGCCAGTTCGGATCCCGGGCGCAGACATGGCACTGCTTGTCAAGCCATGCTGTGGCAGGCGTCCCACATATAAAGTAGAGGAAGATGGGCATGGATGTTAGCCCAGGGCCAGTCTTCCTCAGCAAAAAGAGGAGGATTGGTGACAGATGTTAGCTCAGGGCTTATCTTCCTCCAAAAAAAAAAAAAAAAAAGTCTTTCATAAACACCATATTTCCAAGTTAAAGCCCATAATGTAACATGATTATTTTTCCACTTCCCTATTTAGGTTATTTATATTTTTTTGCTACCATAAATATCACCTCTATGTTTGATTATCATAATTCATAAGTCTTAGTCCAAATTTCTAATTATCTCCTTAGGTCCTTCAAAATTTTGATGCTCAAATAATGCCCAGTCTATTGTATACACTAGAGGGAGTTTGCGAGTTCTTGGAAACAATAGTTTTCTGTGCCCTGGTGAAGAATGAAAATAACCTGCCAAGACTGGCAGAAATATTAAAGGCATTTGGGAAAGCTATGCCTGATCTCATAATGAAACAATGTGGGCATTTTCTTCCCAGGCCCGTCCCATCGTGGGTCAGGAGCAGAGCTCAGCCGGCTATTTGGGCTGACCACAAGCATGGTCGTGAATCTTTAGATCTGTGGATGACCGAAGGGTGAGCACAAAGGCCACGCTCAGTCTATGAAGAAAGGCCATGTGAGAGGGCTCTGAGAGCCCCACCCTCGCCTCGGGGAACCGCAGTCCCCAGCTGAGTTCCCAGAGCCGCAGGCCAGACCTTGTTGTGGAACTTGTTGTACAAGTTCTCTGAGGTTGTAGTGGCTGCGCTTGATAGGCTGCGGTGGGTAACTGTCCTTAACCAAGGCTCCGGTCACGAGCAAATGAGTGGGTGGCAAGCCATGTGACCAGGGCTCCTGGAATGACTCTGAGGAGGTGGGAGGGGGGCCCGAGCTCTCAAGCCTTTAGATCCTCCTCTGTGGCCCCTCCCACCTTTCTTAGATGGTTCTCATAGCAGAAGATTCTGGCACAGAGGGAGCATGCCAGAGCCCAGGCAGCCAATGGTGGCTGGGCAAATACAGCTGAGAAGAGGGGGAAGAGTGACACGAGAATGTGGAGTACTGCTGTGTCAACCCTACATCCCCCAAGGATTAAGAAGGGACCACTGTTCCCCTTGGACCAAGGACTCTGCCTCTTCTTCTTGCTGGTTCCATCTTCCCAGAGATTGGCCCCTCCTAGCCCGCCACACTTGACTTGCTCATTTGTGCAGGAGATAAATTAAGACCCTCTTTCCTTAAAACTATAACCACAGGCAGAATTTTGACTCTATGCCAGAGTACTCACATGACCTAGGAAGGCAGTGGAACTTTCCTGGTTGGCAAAAATGGAAATCTTTGGGAAAGGTGGATCTGATAGGCTCAAGGACACTTACTTGCAAACGCGAAAAGCAACACAGGTTAGGGTTAAGATAAGACTTCCCCTTAGAAACCATGGTTCTCAATCTTAACTGTGCATAAAATCCCCTGGAAAGTTTCCTAAAATCCTCACGCCCAGAGCAGTCACGTCACAGTCTCTGGGAATGGGACGTATGCACCCGTGGTTCTTAAAGCTCCCTGGGTGATTCCAGTGTGTAGCCAAGGTTGAGAACGACTGAACTTAAAAGGATAATCAAAGAAGACCAAAGCTCCAGTGTACTGATGGCCATATAAATTTAACAGCCATATTTCCCATCTGTACTTAGGTGTTTTATTTCTTTAAATCTTGTTTTATAATGCATTCTGGTCTTCCTTTGCAAAGCCAATTAGAGACCTGTAAACAGATCATAATTTTAAAAGTTAAATTTAACAAGAAAAAAATACCTTGCGTCTCTGTGCTCTGTGAGGTACCCCTGCAGAGGAAAGCTTCATTAGCTGCCACACCCAAGGCCACCTTTTTTGACAGAGCAGGCAGATGGCTTGGAAGAACGAGAGGAAAGGTCAGAGTTCATCATAGCAAAAACTTAAAGATAAGTTGAGAAGCTGGGGGGACACCAGATATGCACCCAAGGGGAGGCTTCTGCATTTTAGGTGCAGTAGTCCAGCCTACGGGTGCCAGAGGGTGGCACAGGGTCAGGAGCTGCCTGGTGGCACAGCAACACTCAGGAATCCCTTGGACTGGACTTTGGTTTCCATCGCAGGCAGAAAGTGAGATTCTTCAAATCCCAGAGCCTCAAATTCGGCCCTCTATTTTCTGCATCCTCTTCTCTCTTCAACCTTAGCCACCTTCTTCTTTGGTCTTTCGAGGAGTAGAGTAGGGTACAGAAAGAGTGGGGATTGGGCCTGGCCCTATGGCGAAGTGGTTAAAATTCTGCACACTCCACTTTGGCGACCTGGGTTCACGCGTTCAGATCCCGGGCACAGACCTATGCCACTCACCAGCCATGCAGTGGCAGTGTCCCACATGCAAAAAAATAGAGGAGGATTGGCATGGATGCTAGCTCAGGGCTGATCTTCCTCAAGCAAAAAAGAGGAAGATTGGCAATGAATGTTAGCTCATGCTGAATCTTCCTCAGCAAAAAAAAAAAAAAAAAAAAAAAAGAGCAGGGACCTTGGGATCAGACCAATGTAAGTTGGCAGCCTAGCTCCAACACTTATGGGCTATGGGACAGTCGTGGAATTTTTAAACTCTGTGGGTTCCATTTCTCATCTATGAACTTAGCAAGGGATCTGAGAACATGGAGTGCTACTGGGTCGACCCTCCATCGCCCTGGATTAAGATGGGGTCTTCTGCTACCCTCAGGTTCATCTTCCTGGGGATTGGCCCCTCCTGGCCAGCCACATTGATCTGCTCATTTGTGCAGGAGATAAATAAAGTCAGTAAAATCTTTAGGCTCAGGAAAGACAGGCTCCTGCTCCAGTGCCCCCAATCTATAGGGTCCTGTTCTGGTGCTCCCTGCTGGGTGAGGGGCTCAAGGGCCAAAGGTCCTGCCCCTTAGAATCCATGTTCCCCACCTAGGCCACCTCACAGGGGCTGGGACCCTGAAATTCTCTGTCCAAACTGGCCTGAACCCACCTCTGGGGTCAGTGGGGGCTGCTCCCCAGATCTGTCCTCTTGAGGATGTACTATGCTGACTGTCTGAGGCCTGATGGGGGCCAAGGGCAGCTGCTGGGGAGGACGTGACGGGGATGGAGTTGGACACAGCAGGGACATCTGATTTCCACACACGGGTGTCCTCACTGGCTTGGGACAGAGTCAGGGTTGAGGAGAGAAGGAACAGTTCTCCGAGCCTCGCCACACTTCAGCTCAGAACTGGGATGAGGAGCCAGCCTGGTGGCACAGCAGTTAAGTTTGCAGGTTCTGCTTCCGCAACCCAGGGTTCACTGGTTCGGATCCCGGGTGCAGACATTTGCACCACCTGTCAAGCCATGCTGTGGCAGGTGTCCCACATATAAAATAGAGGAAGATGGGCATGGATGTTAGCTCAGGGCCAATTCTCCTCAGCAAAAAGAGGAGGATTGGAGGCAGATATTAGCTCAGGGCCAGTCTTCCTCAAAAAAAAAAAAAAAAGAAAAGAACTCAGATGAGCGTAAGAATTCTAAATTCAAACTTGGCCTCCCAGGTGATCATGAAGATATTTGTCAACTTAGAAGGTTAGCACATGCTTTATTTAACAGCGTCTTAGCTTGAGTTTTACCTTTAGAACACTGACGCCTGTGGCACGGGGGATGTGGCCCTCCGTCTGCACCCCAGCCCTGGCCCCGCGATGTTACCAGCAGGGGCCGGGGAAAACAGTACTGCCGCTTAGGTTGCCGCAAAGGCCAAGTGCAAAAAATTATGAGTGCATAGTAGATGCTCAGGAAGGATTATTCTCTCTTCCTTCTGGCTCATGATTGTCACTCAGAAAATGCAGCTGTGGAAGAGAATCCTCTAGGCGGGGCCCCCACCCTCCTCCTTGTCAATTCTAGGGTGCAGCTTCATGCCCTGTTGGCTTACTGGGACTGACGAGCCCTCAGGCCTTGCCACTGAGAGGTCGATCCAAGTCTGAGAGCTGAGCCTGGATCCCTCAGTTCACCGTGGCCCAAAAAAATGGCTCTTATGCCATCAGGAAGGCTGTAGCCGGGTCAGAAGTGGCTCCGGGGAGAGGCGGCTTTGGCGGGGCGGGGCTTCAGGACCCTAGGCTTTCCGCGTGTGTCCGACGATGCGGCAAGGCCTGCGGAGAGAGATTTCTGGGTGTGGGGAGCAGGGAGGGGCAGGCAGCACCTCTGGGGACTCGGAGTGCTTCCTCAAGAGCCAGGGAGGGGGTCAGGGGGAGGGGCGCTGGCTGATCTGGGGCTCAGCCCCTTAGGACTCAGAGACGCCAGGCTTCTGGGACAACTTGGAACCAGCAGAACTGGTTCACGGGGCTGTGTGTGTCAAATTTGCTGTGACGTTTCTACTTTGTACTTTGAAAGTATCCGTTTGCCGTCTGCGTTTCCAACAGTAAGTGGGAGTACGCTTCGTTGTCAGAAAATGGACCTGGATGAAGGCGGACGCAGCAGGCAGAGGGAGCAGTCTGTGCAAAGAGCTGGCGACATGGAAGAGGCGCTGTGTCCAAGGACCGTGGAAGATGGGACAGAGAGTGGTGGGGGGCGGAAGCAGAGGAGGGTGCGAAGGTAGTCAGGCCATATTGAAATGGCCTTGAAGCTTTCTGATGTTGCTTCATGGATCACAGAGGAAAATGCACTTAAGACTCTGTAATATAATTTCCTTCTCATTACAAAACTCTCATTTCCTATAAACTTTAGGTCATTTTTTTCATATTGCGTACTACATGTCAAGGAATGTTCAACCCATATATTGGTTGGACCCCTTGCTGGTTGAATTTTTAATCTATCTATCTGCCTACTTCTCATCTATTTCCCAACCCCCCCCCCCCCCCCCCAGGAAGATTAGCCCTGAGCTAACATCTGCTGCCAATCCTCCTCTTTTTGCTGAGGAAGCATGGCCCTGAGCTAACATCCGTGCCCATCTTCCTCTACTTTATACGTGGGACGCCTGCCACAGCATGGCTTGCCAAGCGGTGCCATGTCCGCACCTGTGATCTGAACTGGTGCACCCCGGCCGCCGAAGCGGAACGTGTGCACTTAACCACTGAGCCACCAGGCTGGCCCCTCCTCTGTTTTTTTAGTCACCAGACATAGAAATTTATTTAAAAACAGAGAAAGTTTATTTTTCAATCATGGGAACATTCATCTGATAAGTTTGGGGTCCCACTTCATTCCAGGAAACAGATCCCTGAAAATCCCTTTTGCAAAAACATTCCTGAAGCCTCAAGATGTCAAAAACAACCTTTACAAATATTTTCCATGTATTCAAATGCCAAAGAGGTCTGTAACTCACAGAAACAAGATCTATTCGGTCATCTGGGGTAGCATTATGCTTCCTAAACATCAAGAAATAGGGGCTCCCAAGGAGGCAAAGCATAAAAGCCTTTAGATTTGTACTCTGCCAAACTTTATCTGAAGGGCCTGGGGTTAGGGAGGCAGTCAGTTCACCCTAACCCCCCCGGCCCCGCCCCTTGCATACTGTGCTTTAACTCCCTATTATCCCTCCTGGTAAACCTAGGTTGGCTAATTTTCATGATAAAACACTAGGGCTTTATACCTATTGTTGGTATAAATGCAACATTGTTTATTTGCCAAATCCCGGAGAGGCGAAGATATAATTAATCTATTAAGGCTTCTCTTGGAAAAAAGTCAAACCCTTCAGATGGGAAACTTGGGTGGATATCATCAGTGTTTTGCAACGGGGCTGGCCGGATTGCTCCAGACGCTCAGAAGGTCTCTGCTCAGCACATTCTGAGGTTCATGCGAACTGGGAGCCGCAGGCTGGGAATGCAGAGAGAGCCGTTCTGTTTGGGGATGTTAAGCAGGAAGACCTGCAGCATCCACCAGGCCAGTGCCCAAAGCCCTGTGCAGTGGGAACAGCTGTGCCTGTGTCTCCACGACTGGGACTAGACTAAGGGACGATGCGGCTGGAAGTGGGGCTTCAGGCATCCCCATAGCATGGCCCTCTCATCTTCCAGACAACGTATTTGAGGGTGGGGGTCAGCTCTGCTGAGTGAAACTCTCCCCTGAGGCTTTTCCTGATGGGCACGGCCACTCCTGGTAAGGGGGGCTAACGTGTGCCCCCATAAGGCCTCCCAGAGTAGCCCGTTACTGGTAGATGGCCTGGTAGGAGTGTGTGTGGGGGGGTGGGGGTTGGTTTAGTTGATTTTTAGGCTACAACCTTTCATGTTTCCCCCAAACATTAATGGCATTTGAACCCTGGACTGATCTCCCCTTTGAAGGCTCCTCTCCCTCACAGGGACACAGAAATACATTGCTGGCTTATTGAAGTGGCAGCTATGGCCACGTCACTAGAAAAGAAGGAAACCGAGGAACCGATTAACCCTCCCTCTCTGCAGAGAGAACACTTTGGGAATTCTCCATCCAAGAGACCTGTGAGCGGTGACAACAGAGCATTGCCACCCTTCTCAGAGGACCTTTATTACGTGGTTTTGGCTCTTTAGATCTCCACGCACAAATGCTAAAGCAGCAAGAGCTTTCCAAACTGGCTTTGTGACATCTGTACCCAGTGTGATCAACATTTGGCAGGAGGCTAGTGGGGAAGGAACAGAGCTTACTGCGCAGCTCCATCCAGCAGAACTCCCTGCAGTAATGGAAACGGTCTACATTTACACTAACACCGCAGCCCGCAGATACGTGTGGCTACTGAGAACTTGAACGTGGCTAGCACCACTGCGGAATTGGATTTTTTATTTTGTTTCATTGAAATTAAATTTAAATAGCCACAGAGTTTGGCTCTGTGGCCGAGTGGTTAAGTGCACGCGCTCCGCTTGGACGGCCCAGGGTTTCCCTGGTTCGACTCCTGGGCACGGACATGGCACTGCTCATCAGGCCATGCTGAGGCGGTATCCCACATGCCACAACTAGAAGGACCCACAAGTAAAAACATACACAACTACGTACCGGGGGCTTTGGGGAGAAAAAGGAAAAATAAAATCTTTAAATAGCCACATGTGACTAATGGCTCTCATATTAGCCCAGCAAGTTCACTGACCTTGAGATGCTAAGGGAGAGAGGGCAGCTTCAATCCTTCCTGGTCTCCTCTTTTTTCTCCCTTCCCTCCATATTCAGCTTCTCCTTGTTCATCAGTCTCTGGCAGTGCCATCGCCAAGGCCTCTCCTCAGCTAACCGTACCACAGTGGCCAAAGGGCAGCAAGAAACAATGTTACTCTCTGCTCTGAAAAGCCTGAGCGTGGCCTTCTCTGAGCAGGATGAGGTTGGCAAGGATTGCCGAAGCTGAGTGTGGTATTCCAAACTGCTAATTTGCTCATACAATTTGGGAAAGTGCTACTTTAAAACCCTGACATGAATTGAAAGCGACATTTCTGAAATTTGTGGGAGGCCAGAGTCCATGCTACTGGAGGTTATGTTTGCTAATTGTCTCAGTGGTTGTTTATTAAATGGTTATGGGATATTTATTTCTCTCTGTTGGAGAACTTGGCCCAGAAAGGCAGGCTTGTTTGCTGAGATTTTTCTACCGTGACCCAATCGAAAGATTCCACCTGATTTCTTGTTTTTTTCTTTCTTTTTTTTTTTTTTAAAGATTTTATTTTTTCCTTTTTCTCCCCAAAGCCCCCCGGTACATAGCTGTATATTCTTCGTTGTGGGTCCTTCTAGTTGTGGCATGTGGGACGCCGCCTCAGCGTGGTTTGACGAGCAGTGCCATGTCCGCGCCCAGGATTCGAACCAACGAAACACTGGGCCGCCTGCAGCGGAGCGCGCGAACTTAACCACTCGGCCACGGGGCCAGCCCCCTTGTTTTTTTTTCTTTTTTAAAAAATTATTTTATTGAGGTCATATTGGCTTATAATACTGTGTAAATTTCAGGTGTACACTATTACATTTCAGTGTCTGTATGGACTGCACCCTCATATGGCGATGGATGAAAACTAGACTATCAACCTGATTTCTTGTCAACTGGAAGATTGGAGTCACATAATCTGCTTTTTCCCAAAAAGATCCACAAGGTGTCTTCAGGATTGCCTTTGCAGCCCAGGACACCCACCCGATGCATAGACTCTGCTGGGACGAGAGGGGCAGGTAGGAAGAGGGGACTGTGTTTTGTGCTATTCTGCTCAACCCCCTAGGTGGTTGGATCGGGGCTGGGTATTAACCCCAGAGCAGAAAATTTCATAGGCTGGCCAGTGACCTCTGACTTGGCACAAAAGAATGTCCTCCAACCGGAGTCCCTCTCTCTGGGCTCTACAATGGAAACAGAGAGAATGTGGGGGATGAGAGGGAGGAGCCACAAATAGGAGCTTAGGTGGGGACCTCTCAGCCAGAGGCTGACTTTGTGCAAATGGGGTAGAGTCTTGGAATCTGTGTTTTTAAAATTCCTTAGGCAATTCAAACGCACTGATATCCACTTTGTTTTAATTCCATTTGAACTTAGTCACCTCCAATAGGACACTCCTACCTCACCTCACACCCCCCCATTTGAAACTTTAACATAGAGTACGCCAGGATTTTGCTGTTGGTAGTACTTGAGTGTAAGCTTTCTTTTTTTTTCCTCTTTTTTTAATGATTGGCACCTGAGCTAACACCTATTGCCAATCTTGTTTTTTATTTTTCTCTTTTTCCTCAAAGCCTCCCAGTACACCTCTGTGTATTTTTAGTTGTGGGTCCTTCTAGTTGCGGCATGTGGGATGCTGCCTCAGCATGGCCTGATGAGCGGTGCCATGTCCGCGCCCAGGATCCGAACCAGCGAAACCCTGGGCTGCCGCAGTGGAGCGCACAAACTTAACCACTCAGCCACGGGGCCGGCCTGCTTAATATTTCCTTAGGCTGGATTGCTAGCAGTGGGATTACCAGTCAAGAGATACTTATCTTTGTGGTTCTTGCTACATGTTGGTTTCCAATGGGTTGTGTAAATAGACAGTATCATTGGTTGACTACGTCAGTTTCACCACAACCTTGCCAGCATTGGGAATATCACTTTGCATTTTCCTCCTAATTCCCCATATTTTAAAAAAATATGCCTTGAGCCTGCTTTAATTTGCATTATTTTTGATTATTGTAAAGATGCTCATTACGATAATGTTTCCCATTGGTGTGTTTACTATCTGTGTTTTCTCTTCACCCTGAGTTTCCAAAAGTAACGTCTTCTAGACACCCACTTTCTCCTACTATTAAACTTTTTTCCTCTTTATTTTCAAAGACACAACATAGCTTTGAACATTTCCAGTGGCAGCATCCTAAAACCCCACCAGTCAGAAAAGCAGCCTTTTTCCATTTTAGTTAAACCTCTACTGTTGTGTTTTGCACACAATGACTGACACACATGCTTGTCGAGTAACCATGGCACTTTGGTCTTGTGGCTACAGTGTTCAGTGGTCATAAAAAGATAAGACAACTGTATTAAACAAAATTAAACCAATTTCTTAACTGCAGGACTGCTCAGAGCCTTCAATACTCCTTTAACAAGTTCTCAGTGAAGAGGAGAATGTGAAAGACATCTTTTTAAAAAAATTTTTATTCATGTATCTTTTTGAGGAAGATTAGCCCTGAGCTAACATCTGCTGCCAATCCTCCTCTTTTTGCTGAGGAAGACTGGCCCTGAGCTAACATCTGTGCCCATCTTCCTCTACTTTATGTGTGGGATGCCTGCCACAGCATGGCTTGATGAGCGGTGTGTACGTCCGCACCCGGGATCCGAACCAGTGAACCCCAGGCCACCAAAGTGGAACGTGAGAACTTAACCACAGTGCCACCAGGCTGGCCCCTGTGTGAGGCATCTTTCCCACATCTTTTGCCTGCCATCGAACCCTTGCATGCTGAGGCACACTGGAGGAATGGTGTCCTGAAGAAGATGCTTTAAGAAACCCTGCTCTGGCGTAGAAGTCACGCCCACACTAAATTCAGTATGTGGACTGAAGTGGGAAAAAACATGGCATCCCACAGTTACTCCACTTCAGACACCAACACACAGTGACAAAACACAGGCATCTGTTAAGAAATACTTTAAATAATATATTAGAAAAGTCAACAAGGATGTTGGCAAGATATTTGCAGTGTGAAAAGGAAAACTACAGCATGGCATGTGGAAAAGGATCTCATTTTTGTTCAGGAAAAAATGTGTATCTTATTACTTGTTTTTTTTGCCTCTAACCCCCACCACCACTAGAATGTAAGTTTTTGAGAGCAAGAATGTCAATTTATACAGACCATTCTAAGTTTGTGTAAAATTTTAGGATATGTTTACATTGATCGACTATTGTGTTTGTTGATTGCACTGTCATGTTATGCTTTATATTTTATTTTAAAATGTGTTTATATTATAGTTTTTTATTTACATACAGACTGCTGTTTACTTAATAATAAAGTTATTACTAGATAAACTTTATTAAACTTTTAAAAAGTTATTATGAAATTAACTTCATTATTAAGCTTCTCTCTCTTTTAGATATTGTCCGAGAAGAATGTTTTCACAATGAGTGTGTGTTAGTGTTATAATCAAGGGGAGAAATAAAGCTGTTTTTATTTGGGAGAGAAAAGAGGCAGCAAGGGAAAGTAACATATGAACATCTGCTGTGCCCCAGGCAATGCAGCTGTCCCATGTCATTTAATCCTCCCAATTATTATTCCCATTTACAGGCAAGGAAACTGAGGCACAAAGCACTTAACTGACTTATCTAAGATCATAGCGTATGTGGTGGAGCAGAGTTTTTTTGTTTAATTGTGGTAAAATATACATAACATAAAATTTGCCGTTTTAATCATGTTTAAGTGTACAAATCAGCAGCATTAAGTGCATTCACCGTGTTGTGCAACCATCACCCCTATCTATTTCCGGAAACTTTCATCATCTCAAACAGAAACTCTATATCTATTAAACACTAATTCCCTATTCCTTCCTTCTTCCAGCCCCCGGTAACCTCCATTCTACTTTCTGTCTCTATGAATTTGCCTATTTTAGGTAAATTCCTCTCATATGAGTGGAATCATACAATACTTCTCCTTTTGTGTGTGGCTTATTTTACTTAGCACAACGTCTTCAGGATGTATTCATGGTATAGCATGTATCAGTACTTCATTCCTTTTTAGAGCTGCATAATATTCCATTGGATGGACATACCACATTTGGTTTACCCATATATCAGTTGATGGACATTTGCCTTGTTTCCACCTTTTGGCCAATGTGAATAATATTGTTATAAACATTAGTGTACACGTTTCATCTGAATCCTTGTTTTCAATTATTTTAGGTATATAGACCTAGAAATGGAATTGCTGGATCAGAAGGTAATTCTGTTTAAGTTTTTGAGGAATTGCCAAGCTGCTTTCCACAGCATCTGCACCATTTTCCATTTCCTACCAACAATGCACAAAGTTTCCAATTTTTCCACATCCTCATCAGCATTCATTTTCTGTTGTTGTTTTTAATAGCCATCCTAATGAGTATGAAGTGGTATCTCATTGTGGTTTTGATTTGCATTTCCCTAATAGCTAGCAATGTTGAACATCTTTTCTGTGTTTATTGGCCATTTGTTTATCTTTTTGGGAGAAAGGATTTTTCAAATCCTTTGCCTATTTTTAAACTGGGTTATTTTTTGTTGTTGTTTTTGAATTTTAGGTGTGCGTCATATATTCTGGATATTAATTCCTTACCAGATATATGATTTTCTCCCATTCTGTGGGTTGTCTTTTCACTCTCTTGATAGTGTCTTTTAATGCACAAAAGTTTTTCATTTTGATGAAGTCCAACTTATCTAATTGTTTTCTTTTTTGGCCTGTGCTTTTGATGTCATAGCCAAGAAATCACTGCCAAATCCAACGTCATGAAGATTTTTCCCTGTGTTTTCTTCTAGGAGTTGTTAAATGACAAAAATAATACAATTTAGTAATCAGTTTGATGTGCTTTGTTCGAGGGAAAACAATTCATGCACTGGGGGAGTACAGCACCTCAGAAGCAGCGGAACACTCTTCTTGAGGGGTTTTGGGCCAGATCGAGTTTATAGAGCGTTAGAAGAGGCAAAACAGAGGCAACACAGAAACAGGCGTAATTGGCTGGGAGGTGGGGGAATCGCCTTATAAGACTGGTCCAACTTTGTAGGGCGTGGTAAACCAGCCAAAGCCAGGTTGGAGGATCGTGATTGGTGTTAGGTTTCCTTGACAATGAGATGTTGCCCGGAAGTGCAGGCTGACTTAGGTTTAGATTTGTGATGGGGGCCGGCCTCCGTTTTGTGGGTCCCAATAGATGAATTACCTTTATTAGAATTTTATAGTTTTAGTTTTTACCTTTGGTCTTCAGTCCATTTTGAGTTAATTTTCATTTACGGCATAATTTCATTATGGTATGGTATTCATCATAAGGATCCAACTTCATTCTCTCGCACGTGGATGTCCAGCTTGCCCAGCACCATTTACTGAACACACTGTCCTTTCCTGCTTGGATGGCCTTGCTCTCTTGTTGGAGCAGAGTTTGGAATCCTGTTCTGTCGGACTTTAAGTGGTATGACTTTTTCTAGTAGAGTGTGCACCCCAGTTTTCCCTACAGTAGTCTTTCTTTCTCTCCCAGACCCAGAAGGGCTGTCGTAGGCCAGGCCTGGCGAGCCCCTAACATGGCCCCCAGTGGGGCGAGGA